CTACAACATATCGGAAGCTTGCTTCACAAAATATATATGCATCAACTGTTAGTTACATCAGATAAACTCACCAGTTTTTTCAACTTATGCTCACAGGCAGCATTAATTTGCCGCACAATCACAAAAGCTTTTGGATAACTTTTCAATAGTTTACCTACTTGGCGACTTGGACCTAGATACTGACTTAGGAATAAAATACGCATTGTCGTAGGGTTAATCAATAATATATTTTTTYCCAAAAAATGGCGTCATGCGAAAGGGCATAATATAGTCAACACAACTACCTCAGAGAAGATTCACCGCAACTCTCCGAAATACTCCGCATGGTGAAATGTTTTACATTTTTCCATTGCTTATGATGGAAACGGCAAATGATTGGATTAGGTCCAAACCTCTGACAGCTAAATGACACGCACRGAGACTATTATGGGCCGGCAAACCGAATGTAGTGACTGTTTCGGCCTGAGGGCCGAAACAAAAATGGATGAGAAGGATGGGTGGGTGGACAAATAGATGGACGATATGCCATTAATAACAATTGCTAATTCCCTTACCATGATATTATACATTTCATTCACCTCGGCAGGAGTATAGCGTGTCAGAACCTCCAACGCCTGACATTGACACCACTCACTCATAGACTTGAGTCTTAAAGAAATAAATTGTTTAGTTCCAGAAATCATCCATACCCACCCCACAGAGGAATATGAAATTTCCGAAGAGTAGGGGATCAGAGAAAGRACAAAAATTACAGAGTTTGTATGGAATGTACAGTAATGTTTTCTCATTTCAAACCATGTGGTATTCTCTAAAGAATCTTTGTTTGAGTTGTATCCATATTCATGTGTCTTAATTCTCATGTGCAACCATTAAACAATGAAATATCATAGTACCACGAGGGAATTTGAATGACGCATTGTACTTTATGTAATATTAGAAAACATTATGCTCACGGTAGAGATGTCTATTGTGTCCTTACCATTAGACCCTGGTGTAATTACGATGTAAGTTCAGGGCTTATTCTCATTCATAAGAGCTTTTTGATGGTCTTATGACCATGGAGGATTATAATCAGAAGGAAAAAGAATTTAGGAAGAACAAGAAACCATAATATAATAACCGTTATTTCTTTGTTTTTTCCCCATCTAAAATTTAAAAATCTATTAAGCTTTAGCTGTTGTATCAWGGCTTGGGACAAACACAACAGAGCTAGGCTCCAACTAGGTGAAAGCCCACAGATTGAATTGGTATTTAGAAGTTAATTCTTGAGGAGGGAATGTAACCGGAGAACCTGGAGAAAAACTCTCGAAGCACATAGAGGACATTAGCAAGAGGCGGCGCATTGGTGGGAGGCGGCRAGCACATGCCACTCATTCTTCCTAAATCAACTTCCATGTGTTGTCAATGCCATAAACATGAGTATACAGTACCAGTTCACTACATTACTAACAAGAGCTCATYGTATTACCTGTTGAGCAAGTGGTGAGCCAGTGCTTGGTCAATTACAAGTCCTCCTTCAGCTGCAAGGATTTCATCTAATRCAGCTATGCAATTACAGGCAACCTAAAAAACAGTGACACTTTTTGGTGACAACCAATAGGGATTAAACTCTCTGATTGAAAACAAGATAGTTTTTTGAGAATTGCAGTAGATATACCTGTGGGTCTTCATCTCTGGTCATCTTCTTCAACTTGTTAATTACATCATGTTCTGTTTTGTTAAATAAATTAGGGCCAATCAATCATATTTAGAATGTAAATTCCAATGAACAAAGTATGAACTCTAAAAATTCCATTCATAAAAATTGATAACGAATAATATTTTATTACTGAATAGTTGATTTATACTAGCTTGCCTTCAACAAAGTCAGGGTTTTGATGATGAAGTTTAACGCAGCCCATGACTGCTGTACGTCGTACATAATGACTTAGGTCATTTAGCGCTGTGATCACTGGTTCTTCTATGTACTCCAACAGACCTGGTAACCTGCTGATTAATAAGGTATACATGCAATTATTAGCATGATGGTCAGGCTATATCCTGGTTCTGAACATTCTGCATTTTTAGTGGAGGATTTGTATCCACTATGTTTAAAGCTTTTTTATCTTCTTGCCAAGCTTTTGGTGATATTGGCCATCTTCAGGGCTATATGAATTAACTTGTACAACTGTGCGAGCCAACTATTTGCACATGAGAACATGCGTAATAGGTAAATTATGAGCCTTGTATGAAACAACTGAAGAAGAGGGCTAATGGGCCTTTCACAACGGTACCTTCAAAACTTCAATTCATGTAAAAAATGCACCAGCTCAACTAGAAACTGTGGACAGCTGTTTTGGCCTGTATTGGGCCTCGTCAGCATGGTGTATCTAGTGAGCTGGTAGAATCCCACGAAAATATAGTACATGAGAGATGAGGTGGTAAGCTGTGTGGGATTGGCTCGGAAATTTGCACGAGATATGAACTAAAATGGAAAACTAAAACTGCGCCAACTGAGTTTGCATGTGAGATCAAAAATAACGGAAATACAGTACTGTAGGTGCGAGCGAGTAACAATTCTGCATACTTTTTATTGATCTATTATTTATTAAGGCTTTTTACATGTACACTAGCAATTTTGGCATGTGACTTGAACTGCAATTTCAATGGTGATTTTATTGCAATCCCAAAATTGCATATATATGTAAATTCCCAGCAATGTTATGYGAATTTCACGGTGACAGATCGCAGCCAAGTCACTGCAAATTCAATCATGTTCAAAATTTAGTGCAATTTATGCATGGTGATACAGTATCATGTCAGCTGATTAAATCCCCGCAATATGCACCCCATTGCATCCTAAAGCCACAATGTCCCTTTCATTCTATGGGAGTGGCCCCAATCCACCTTAGATACAGTATAGTACATGTATATCATCTGTACAAGCATAACAGACAATATACCTTAGGGAAGTCATACTTCTCAATGCAAGGCCTCTTATCATGGCACTACTGTCCTTGATGTCCATCAGTAATGTATTGACTGCTAGTATCACAAGCTGAGGGTTGGACTGTGCATAGGTGCATATGTAAAGATATACAAGCTTCTTCTGGACTAAGTCATTTGTGGCACCTGCCTGTAGTGAGTGTAAAGCAATTATGTTATCATTACAGCACAATGCCCAAAAGTATGATCACATACTTCTGTGCATAATATATATGTGAGGCTTTTTGCTGCCAAACATGCTTTATGAGCTTTATGTGGTAAGAACAGTCAGCTTTGCATYGAAATGTATTGATGCAAAGCCCATGTATTAAATATTCATACATTACTTTTGCATGTTGAGCTGTAACATTGATTGACTGACACATAATTTACAAGTCAACCACAGCATATTAAACACCAAGATGGTGGGACAGGAGGAACTACAGCCCCCCCCCCTTTTTCCCTTACTATTCTTCGATTGCACGTTACGTCATCGCAGCCATGTTGGTGCCATTTTACAAAAGATTTCTCATTAGCATCCATTGTAAACTGCACCACAATGGCTGCCATGTTTTTGTCTTTTGCCTCTCTTGGGAATGCTTGCAACCCATCAATTCCCATACTAATCTCTTATATTTTCAAATCTTAGCCACCCACTTTTTAGGGTTCAGTGCTCAGGGGCCTCTGAAATGACAAGAACGCCACCTAGGGTATTAAACTAGTAATCAACCATGTGTATAACTTTGTTACATTTACCTTAATCATCTGCATAAACAGAGATGACATATCCATTCCCAGGGTCATACAAGCAATGACTCTTTGAATGACTTTCTTGTACTGTGCAGGATCCCTCTGTATTGCTGCTTCATCTAGAAGCTTCTTTAGCTCGCTCACTTCACTCTTCTTTCCTGCTTCACTAAAATATCCTGAAGTAGTTAACATTTTTTAGCATTTACTAAAAACACTGGAGCTCGAAGTTGTCGATGTTTTGGGTGTAAAAAGATGAAAGTGTTTTTTATATAAATATCCTTCAGAAAATGGATTAAACGCTCTTTAAAAATTTCCTTGAAGAGACCCTGACATCTAAGGACTCGTTTTAAATGTCATTTTGTGTCCTTCATTTGAGAAATCTGGATAAAAAATGAAAAATTCTCAAAGCGCGATAAGATACCAAGGGAGCCGCCATCTTGTTTTGTGGACTCGCATTCAGTCTCTCGCGGTACTTTTTTGTGATCGTAACACCATTTTATACCTGGTACCACTCGAAAACAAATCAAAATGAAAAACTTTGTACAAAATTAGCTTTGAATTTACCTTCAAATCGTGCATGAATATGATTTTTATCGCCATGTGATGTTAATTAAGGTATATCCTAACTGATCGACTCACTAAGGACAGTTTCTTTTGGTAGTCTTTGGAGTTTGACGGCCTTGAAATCTTTCAAAATGGCTGCCAAACAGGAAATCTTCAAGGGAACTACATATGTACAGTTTGTCTGTCAGAGATGCTATCGGCCGCTCAAGATCGATCCAAACCTTTCGTCTTTAGATTCTGATACATTAGCTGAACTAACAGGTTGGTAATGAGATCCTGTTCAAATGATCGATGCACTGATGTGTTTCTTGTTTCTAGTACAAACGCTTCAAGCACATACCGTACAGGCTTATCATCATTAACGATTCTATCAATAAGAGGTTCTTTGTGTCATTTTTGTACCCCAACTCTTTCACTTTTGACAATCCCCCTCCCTCTCCCCCTTAGTAGTAAGTTTGATTACCAGATGTAGAATGAATATGAGAGTAGCATACGCTTCAACTCTGTTGGTATAAAATAAGATAACCGTCTTCTAAATTATAATAAAATCATCATTTACATGTATCATATTATATACTGTCAGACTTCATCACCTCTTTCATAGCTAAGCATTATAATACGACACTATTGTACACAGTGTTATAAACAGCGTTATACACACTGGTCAGCATGACTGTCTGTAGGATCGAGCCATGATATCTACGTACTTGACTACATGTATATATAGGGGAGTTCCATACAGTTCATATAGGGATATATATATATATATATATATTTATATTTATCAAAATGCAACAGAAATCACGACCATGAAGAGTGTTGTAAATCTGATACAAAACTGTGTTCATTTGCATAAATTTTAAGTTGAGTTTTCTTGGCCAAATTCACTTTAATTTTGAAAATGTTAGTGAAACACAAAGGAACTAACCGAGACATTTGATAAGTCATATACAGCATTCGTGTCCGTGTTGTATCAGATATACAATCACTTGGCTACGCCTTGTGGTTGTATATCTGATACAACACGGCCACTCATACTGTATTTAAAAAAACTCATTAATAATTCATGAAGGAAACACAATAGAAATCATGACCATGAAAGAGGTTTTATATCTGATATAGATTCGTCTTCATTTGCATAAACTTTAACTTGGATTTTCTCTATCAAACTTGGTTCATTTCGTAAAGAGTTCGGTTCAGTATGAGAACATACATCAGGAGTTTTTTAAGCCGTTTAATAAACTCGCAGATCGTGTTTTATCGGGTCAAAAACCACTCAGCTACGCCTCGTGTTTTATACCCGATAAAACACTCCTGCTCGTTTATTAAACAGTACATATTACATATATAGTCCAAAAATATTTCAATTATTTACTAACAGATTAACTTGTTTTTGTAGCACCACTTTCCCCTCTACCTTCAAAGAAAGAAGGGTCTGACAATGAAGCCTTGCTACCTCAGGATCAGATCATTAATGAGGTATGTCTACTCTGGAGTTGGGATGCAAGATTTAATGTTATTGCATGATACTTGGCACCTTATAAGAACCTACCTACTAGCAATCTGTGATCTTAAACCTGTCTCATTGATGACTCAACACCAACAACCTTTAGCACTATACTGAAATCCTAATGATGCTTTACCATCACACTAGCTACCAAAATACTATTGATCTAGATAGCATACCAATAAACTTTAATGCCTACATTTCTACCTTTCTTTTTTATTGACACACTATCAACACATTACCAACATGGGTGGCTCATTCTGCTAACGCTGTCACCTTTCACGGCTGTAAGTCCAACAGGAGGGTTCTCTGGTTTCCTCCCTCCGTAAAAATCAACTTGTGAGTTGAGTGTTGTGTGCACTAAACAATGAAATTAGTGGTAGTGCATGTGAGTGAAAAGTGTCCCCAATTAGTGTGAAAGTGCTAGAACGACTAGACACTTAAATAAAGATATTTATTKATTGATTGATTTACAGGGGTTGTTGTTGAGTGTTAAATGTACTCTCTGTATGTTGTAGTACCTACACACACCTTACATTGTGTCTTCACCACACTCAATAGACCTTGGCAGCATATGAAAGTCTCAAAAGTACTAGTGTTGGATTATTTTTGGATTGGCAGACAAGGAACAAAACGTTTCTTGATCCAAGATCCAATAAGTTTATCAGTAATGAAAAAAAATTTATCTTGATTTTTTTAATGAAATTTTGAAATACAATTACTAGTTATGCATATTAAAATAAAAATGATCAGATAACAACTGCAAATTTAGGGTAAAGACGCTTTTCGATCCGCACAATCCAGTAAACCGAAGTCCAGTCCATTCCAGCCATGCTCGGTTCCRAATTTTCCAAAGATTAAAAACGCTCATAATTCAGAATTTAGAAAGATAAATCAGGTTTTAAAGGTTAGGTATGTTTTTCCTATACATTAAGATTGTCCATACCCTTTCAAAAGCTAAAAAACTCAATTTATAAAAAATAAAAAAAATTTGCCATACAAGAATATTAAAAGCTTTAGCATTGACTGAATAGAATACTCAATAGACCTTGGTAACAAATGAAAATCTCATACCTACTAAGGTGTTTGACTGTTAGCAGATGGCCAGCCTAGAAGCAAGGCAATATCATTATATTTGGTCTAATTTCTAACATAATATTTATTTGTGATTCGTATGATAAGGTATRAGCATCGTTATAATCAATCTGCAATGAGATTATAATGCTTGGCCTTCAGCCTAAGTCCTCTGGCTTTTTTAACAAACTATTTTATAATTAGACAGGCATGTACTAAACTGGTATTTTGGACATGTTTAAAAGGATAATAATTTCATAATTCAGAAGTTTTTCCAGAAAATTTAGTGCATGTCAGAAGGAAATGTTAACAAAGGTATTGCAATATGAAATAAATAATTGAACTGCCAATGACATTCAATCATTCACCTCCTTGGGAAAACCATAAAACCTTGGAAAACATTGTGTCTTCATTGCACTCAATAGACCTTGGTAGCACATGAATGTCTCAAAAGCATACTAGTGTTGGATTATTTTTGAATGGGCAGATGAGGAATAAAACTTTTCATGATCCAAGATCCAATAAGTTTATCAGTAATGGAAAAAAATTATCTTTATTTTAAACACATTTTGAAATACAATTATTAGTTATGCATATTAAAATAAAAATTATCGGATAACCAACTGCAAATTTAGGGTAAAAACGCTTTYCGATCCACACAATCCAGTAAACCGAAGTCCAGTCCATTCCAGCCATGCTCGGTTCCAAATTTTCCAAAGATTAAAAAACGCTCAAAATTCAGGATTTAGAAAGATAAATCAGGTTTTAAAGGTTAGGTATGTTTTTCCTATACATTAAGATTGTCCATGCCCTTTCAAAAGCTAAAAAAATTCAATTTATAAAAAATAAAAAAATTGCCATACACGATCTAGAATCTTAGCATTGATCGAACAGAACACTATGTGTACCTTACAATAAAAATTATACATTTATTTTTATACATTTGTTAATTCTCTTCCTGATCTGATTCCCTCCTTGCTATGAATCCTGTACCTTCCATTTAGAACTACATTATTAAGGTAGATTTACAGGTATTTATCTTGAAGCCGCAGGAAGAAGGCAGCGAGGATATGGTCATAAGACGAGAAATACTGCCAGAAAGGTACCACTCATTACTGACTCAAAGATTAATGTAATAAACATTGTTGATATTCCAGAGACAACAAGGATAGTAGTAAAAAGACATTCTCAAGATAAACCCTTTGCCAAAATGGCTGCCAAAAATTGAAACGAGTTAAATTTTAAGAACCCAATAACAGCACTAGAAAAAGCACCCTTACTTTAGTAAACCTACAAAGAATCATTATGTCAGGTGTTATATCGGCTACAAGGGCGGATCCAGGGTTTTTTGAAGGGGGGGTCTCAGGTGTAAATTTTGTAGGCAAAGGAATCTCAGTCGCATTTTTACCACAGGAAGCCCATTTGACCTCAGGAATGACAGGGGGGTCACGACCCCCGACCCTCCCCCTGGATCCGCCCTTGGGCTAAGAAAACTTTATGATGAAACATTTGTGGGAGTTTACACTATGCCCGCAGGCATAAAAATGTCTGTCAGTATATATATATATATAAATATTTCAACTAAAGTTTTCTCGGGTAATATACACATGTAACACCTGTCATAATGAATCTTTATAGGCTTGCCAAAGTAAAGGTACTTTTTCCAGTGCTGGTATTGGTTTTTCACTCAGTTTAATTTTAAAGGGTCTACATGTATTAAGTGTGAAATTTACATTAGTTATGAATATATTTTAAATTGGTTTTCAATTTCTAGGATGCAGTCAGTAGAAGGGAATGGCTTCACATTAATTGGTGATACTCAAGTCATTCAGTCAGACAGCCTGAGCCATAAACTGAAGGTGAGTTTAACTTGTGATCTTCGTCAACATCATCATCATCATCATCATTATGTCATCATCATCATTATCACCATTATCATCCATCGCAATCACCATCATGCCATTGCCATCACCATCATGTTAATCACTATTGTCATCATGCAATTATCATCCAATGATCAGCATTATGTCATCATTGTCACCACCATCATCACCATCATGTCATCATCATTACAGTATGTCATCATCACTACTATCATCATCGGAGCTAAAATCAACATTCTCATCAACACATCATCTAAAACATCATTATTTTTATCAACATCAATATCATCAAGTATCAACCCAACTTCATTAACAACTTTTTAAGTACTACATGTAACTGTCATCGTCATTGGACATCATTATTAACATCAGCAACACTTGACTTGAGTCACCATTATTCGTCATAAACAGTATTGAAGTACTGTCAGTAACAATTTCTTTAAAATATTTCCAGGTGGCAACCAAATTATTTGATGTCATGTCTGAACAGTCAGATATTGACCACCCACTATGTGAGGAGTGCACAGATACCTTGTTAGATCAGCTGGATAAGCAACTAAAAACCACTGAAGAGGAATTCAGCAGCTACAAAGAGTTTCTTCACAAACTGAATGAACAGCAATTAGCAGGTACATATACTGTATATTTATGACAATTTTGCATACTGGTCTTCATTGTCAATGTTCCTCTAGTTGGTTCTGGTGAACCAGAGACATCTGGAATACAGGAGCCAGTTGTAAGAAGCCTGAAAAGGTTTATCACCATGCACTATTCATCAGATGTGTCCCGGGGGGGGGGGGGGGGGGACTCTCTTGAAAAGTGGGTAGGGGGCTCGACGGTCCTTTTAGAGTCAAAAATGAGACCTCGCGTACCTTTTAGGGTCTCCGGCTGGCTTCGTACCATTTAGGGTCAGATTTGTTCATTTTTTATAAAACATCAAACGTCGTACTAGGATATGATGGTTGGAAACATTGTCATTTTAAATGTGGTCGCACCTTTTAAGGTCTGAAATCAGCATCTCAGTTAATTTATGTGACCTTTTAGGGTCATTTTCGAAACCGTCCGTCGAGCCCCCCTACCCACTTTTCAAGAGAGTCACCCCCTGGGAACAGTGTTTTAATCATGATGATATTCAATAGGAGACGAGTCTCTCTCCAAAGAGCTAGAAGAACTACAGAAAGAAGAAGCCGACTTGATTGCCCAATTGGAGAAAGTGGAAGAAGAGCGTAAGAAAGTTTCGGAAGCTTTGGAAAATGAGAAGCAAACATCAAGAAAACTTGACGATGCTGAAAAAGCTTTCTATATAGAATACTGTGAATACCAGAGGGAGCTTTTGGAATTTGAAGATGAACAGCAAAGGTTAGAGTTAAATATTTAAGTTACTGTACGTTACAGTTACAGTACTTAGTACCAAGCTCAGTCGTTTGAGTATAAGATTAATAGGAAGTGGAGGGACCAATCAATGCGTACATCGATGCTCAGGGCCTTAAAATATCTGAAAAAATAAGTGTTGCCTTTGTAAATACATAAATGGTTAGACTTTCGTGACTTGGATGACCACTTTAAATGGTGGTCCCATATCTCCGCTCTTTAATATCACTAACAATATCAGGATGATGTAAAAACACTGAGTACATAGAGAAATCCTAACMACCATTTTCATTACAATCAACTCTTGTTACAGCGGACACCCTTGGACCTTCACTTACTGTCCGTCATAGCGAGCGTCCGCAATAGGGAGAGTTAATATAATTTTGGTCATTTCTTTGTCAGTATTTTTAGCCAGGGATTTTTCTCCTGTCCGCAATAGCAAGGTGTCCGTAATATCGGGGTGTTCGCAAGGCAAGAGTTGACTGTATCTACAATCATACTAACCATCTTCCTCATTTCTGGCTCATCATTATCAGTCAGAAATTTGACTTTCAAGGCAAAGATTTGACCAGACAAGTTCTAATTCTGTTCAGACATTTTCTGATGACTAGCGGTTATTTTCAGCCCTGCATTAAATATTGTCACATGACTTCATATCTTGTATCAACAGTGTCGAGAACCAAATGCGTTACGCCCAGGCTCAACTAGACAAACTAAGAAAAACCAATGTGTTCAACAGCACATTCCATATCTGGTGAGTTTTTTATTTCTTCTTTTACTGTTCATTATTATTCTCCTTTCATATGTGTGAGTTTTCTTTTTCCTGCTGTACAAGGTTGGGTTGGATGGGAGGGGTCCTGAAGGGAAAAAAATGGAAACTGGGGTTTGGGATTTCCTTATTGCTTTCACACATCTGGGCTGGGATTTGGAAAGGATAGAATTACTATCAAGAAATTTCCTAATCAATTATCACTTACTGGGAATACAGTACAGTACATCGCAGGTCACTGGGATTGGGAAATAGAATTGATACTGAATTATGAGATTTTCCACTCATTCATCACTGGGACTGGGAGTTTGCTGAAATAGGACCTGAAAAGGAATAACATTCACAACACAGCTAGCTTCTGTTAATATTTCATTATCTCATTGATATCTACAGTAATCTAGATTTTATTCACATGTGGCAAGTTGAATATTTTCAGTTGTTTTCATAACGTTTTTAGCGCGCGCACTCATCATTAGAAATTTAGAGCGCGCATGAAAATACAAAAAGT